AGGAAGACTTGCTTCATCTCTGCTTATAGGAAATCAATGGATCTTCAAGTAGAACTCGGTTTTCTTTTCATTATATTGCCAAGCAGACGTTACAATTGTATTTAGAATTGCAGGTCATCCCGTGAAACGTTGAGATGGTCCTGACCTCTCAGCCCCGACCACAGGCACTTGTCTGTTCATGGACTCCGTGTGCCTACACGGGGTTCATTAGCCCAATGGAAACTGCGTCCACGCACCGTTACCAGAACGCGGCCGCCGGCCTTTCCCAGGAAAAAGGTTTATACCGACTTTTGCCCCATCGCTGGTTTCCTTCCTAAATTTGTAATTCAAAGCTGCGGTTTAAAATCCTCGCCGAGCTGAGACATTAGTGGTGGGTGGAAAGACATCCGTCCGCCTTGGACTGATAATGCCCTTCATACGCCAGGAGGCCTTGCGAGCTACGCCTTATGATCAATTATGCAAGTTCATTCTTCCATGCCTCCAGGCTCCAACGTGAAGTCCCTGTCTTAAGTAGGCAGCCCCGGTCCCTATGGCCTTGAGTTAGGAAGATGGCTAAAAACACTCAGAACCATCTCAGCACCTGCCCCAGCAGGCCAAACGCACAGCATTCACAGACCGCTCTCTGGAACAGCTCGTTGCAGCCCAAATCCCAAATCAAACCGGGAGGTTTTAAATGGATGTCTCTAGGTTATATCGGTCTCACAGTTCTGTTTCTGAGCCTCTGTTTTCTTTCAGCGTTGACCTGCACAATGTTAAAACCTCAATGGAAGGAATTGTCAACATATAAAAGTAGGAAAATTTCAAATCAAAGTCAAGATGTCTGGCATCTCTTGAAAAAAAAAAAATCAGAGTACCTGTTAATACAAGGACCACATATCCTCATGTTGACAATCAAGGGAGTTGCTCTTCTTTTGTCCTTGACATTTGGCCACTGGTCCCTCATTTACTTGGACTTGGAAGGCATTTTTATTTCCGACTTCTGATTCTAAAGTTTTACACGGGCATCATTTTCATACTTGCATATCTAATGAGAGCCCATTTATGTTTTGGTAACATTATTTAAAATGACTTCTTTCGAAAACGAATAATCAAACAAACAAATATGATTTGCTTGGGGGGCCAATGGCTCGTTGCCCACAGGAGTTCTAGGCTCAGCCTGCCTGATTCAAGTCCTGGCCCCGATGCTTCCATAATTGCAGGGCCAGGGCAAGCCTGGGTACATCTCTCCGTGCCAATTTCCTCATCTGTAAAGTGGGGACAATATCATCATCTACCTTACAGGGCTACTGTGAGAGATGAATAGGGTGATGTGCATGGAGCACTTAGGACATGGCTTGGAAGAACAGAACCCCTAGACCAGGTTAGTGGTCCCTACCATTATAACTACCACTACTTACCCCAAACATGACCCCCCACTGCCGCTGCTGTTATCAATCCTTCAGCCCAGTGACTGATTTTTTCTGCACTCTGTTAGGCTCTGAATCCCACTCTAATCTGCTTCCCATACTCAGCTAAAGTGATTTTTAACCACAAATCAGACCATGGTATATACACACCTGAGCAATTTCAGCATCTTCCTTTTCCTCTTTTAATAAAGACCCTGCTGCTGGCGGAGCCCACGATGCCCAGCAAGGTCTCGTGTCTGTATCTCCCCAGCCTCATCCCCTGCCAGCCCAGCCCCAGCTAGCATTGAGCCTCCATCCACAGGGACCTTAGTTTTGTTCCTGGTATTCACCGTGGCCTCTCTACCACAGGACTTTTGCACATGCCATGCCCCCTGCCTGGATGCTCTTCTCTCCCATCTGCCCCCTCTTACCATCAACTTGTTCTTCTCTTGGCATCTCAGCAGACACAGTCCCCAGAAGCCTCCCCTGACCTGACAGGGACACATTGTCTCACTTTCAGGAAACCAGGTGCCTCTCTTAGTAGCACTTGTCATAGATGAGACTCATGTTCGATTGTAAGATTGTTTGTTTATTTTCTCTCCTGTCAAATTGGGGCAGGGGCCAAGTCAAGTTCCACCCATCCTTATGTCCTCAGGACCCAGCACAGGGCTGGGGGAAGAGTTAAATATGAGGCCAAAGGAACAACTGGCGTGGGCTGATTTATTTGCAATTAAATCAGTGGAACTCATTTAAATCCTAAGGTGATGCTCTTTGTAATGCAAATCACTGCCCCCGATTTATTTGCAATATTAATTTCATTTTCATACAGTAGGTTGCTAGCAGCGAATTACGTTCCCGATGCTGGTGTTTTGAGAAATAAATGAACTGATCCTAGCTTAGTCGGAATTTCTCACCTCAAAAATAACTCCACACTTCATTTGCCAGTAACAATTTTAAGCGGCACAATTTAGTTCTGTGTTTGTCCTGAAGGGAGCAATCTTATTCTACATGACAGTCTTCTGGGGAAAATGATTCTGGCAACCCGGCTCTCTTTTTCATGAGCACCAAAGCTCAGAGACTTACAATAGGCACATGAATGGCCTCCCGAAGATGTCCATGTGCTAACCCCTGGAACCTGGGATCATGGGACCTTATGTGGCAAAAGAAAATTAAAGTTGCAGATGGAATTAAGGTTGCTAACCAGCTGACCTTGAGAAGGGGAGATTTTTCCCGGGGACATCCTGGATTATTTGTTTGCTTCCAACATAATCGCAAGGGTCCTCATAAGTGGAAGAAGGATCCAGAAGAGGGGGGACGGAGAGACGGCAGCCTGAGCAGAACTTGGCTCGCAGCTGCTGGCTCTGCAGATGGAAGGGGCTGAGAGCCAAGGAGCACGGGCAGGCGGCCACTAGGAGCTGGAAGAAAACAAGGAAATGGATTCTCCCCTGTAATGTCCAGAAAGAATCCAAACTCCTCAGACACTTTGATTTTAACCCAACGAGATCTGTGCCCGACTTCTGATTTTCAGAACCATAAGGTAATAAAGTTACATTGTTTAAATCCACTAACTTCCTGGGAATTTGTTACAGTAGCAACAGGAATCTAACACGGGCACGCCCTATTTTACTACACTTCACAGATACTGTGTTTTTGTTTGTTTGTTTGTTTGTTTGTGTTTTACAAATACAAGGTTGTGGCAGCCCTGGGCTGAGAAAGTCTATTGGCATCATTTCTCCAACAGCGTGTGTTCACTTCATGTCTCTGTGCCACATTTTGGTAATCCTGGCACTATTTCAATTTTGTTTTCGTTATTATTGTATCTGTTATGGTGATCTGTGATCAGTGACCATTGATGTTACCAGTGTGATTATTTTGGGGTACCACACACCGTGCCCATAGAAAATGCCGAGCTTAATAAATATCGTGTGTGTTCTGACAGCTGTTTCTCCGTGTCTCTTCAGGCCTCCCTAAGCCACGCCGATCTGGAAATCAGGCCAATGAATAACCTGCAATGGCCTCTAAGTGTTCGAGTGAAAGAAAAAGTCACCTGTCTCTCCATTTAAATCAAGACCTAGAAATAATTAAGCTTAGGGATGAAGGCACAAGACTTAGGGATGAAGGCACATCAAAAGCCAATATAGGCTGAAAGCCAGGCCTCTTGGTGTCAAGCAGCCAAGTTGTGGATGGAAAAGCAAAAGCCCTTGAATGAAATTAAAAGTGTGACTCCACTGAACACAGAAGTGATAAGAAAGCCAAGCAGCCTTACTGCCGGTATGAGGAGAGTACCAGTGGTTAGACCAGCCACAGCATTCCCTTAAACCAAACCCTACCTCAGGTTACGGTCCTAACTCCCTTCAATTCTATGAAGACTGAGAAACATGAAGAAGCCGCACAAGAAAACACTGAAGCTAGAAGAGGTTGGTTCATGAGGTTTGAAGAAAGAAGCCCTCTCCATGGCATGAAAATGCAAGGTGAAGCCGGAAGTGCTGATACAGATGCCACAGCAAGTTGCCCAGTAGACCTAAGACGCTGGATAACGGTGACCACACCAAACGACAGATTTTCACTGTAGAAAAAACAGCTTTTCCTTCCTTCCTTCCTTCCTTCCTTCCTTCCTTCCTTCCTTCCCTTTCCTCTCTTCTTCTTCCTCCTTCTGTCTTCTTCTTCGTCCTTCTTCCTCCTTCCTCTTTCCTTCTTCCTTTCCTTCTTCCTGTCTTCTCCTTCCTTCCTTCCTTCTGTCTTCTTCTTCCTCTTCCTTCTTCCTTGTTCTTCTTCCTCTCCTTGCCTTCCTTCTTCTTCCCTTCCGTCCTTCTTCCTTCCTTCTCCCTTCTTCTTGCTTCTTCTTTCCTGTTCTGTCCTGTCCGTTCTTCCTTCCTCCCTCCCTCTCAGATCATTCTTCCGTTCTCCCTGTCTTCCTGTCTTTCTTTTCCTTCCTTCTCTTCTTCTTCCTTCCTTCTTCCTTCTCTCTCCCTCATCCTTCCTTCCTTTTTCACCTCCTTCCTTCCTTTCTTCTCAGGAAAATAAATAAACTTTTACTTTTATATCCCCCAAAAACAACAACAACAAAAAAAAAAAAACAGCTTTGTATTGGAAGAAGATGCCATCCAGGACTTTCATAGCTGGAGAGGAGAAGTCGCAGCCTGCCTTCAAATCTTCCAGGGCAGGCTGACTCTCTGTTAGGCACTAATGCAGCTGGTGACTTTAAACTGAAGCCAATGCTCATTGAGCATGTACCACTGTGAGAATACTGCACACGTCTATCTCTTTTATTTGGCTGTCAGTCATCCTGCACCCCCTGTATTCCTCTAAGTCTCCAGAACAGCATTTTCTCTGCTTTTGAAAATCAATAGTGAGCAGTATCCATGCTGATTATCTACAAGAAGATTGAAAATTATCCCCAGGAATACAATTCAATAAGCAATCATAGACCCTTGCCGTGTGTCAATCACTGTGCCTGATTCTGGACGTAAGAGGAGAATAAAGCACTGCCCCTGCCCTCAGGAATCCAGCCTGCTGGGAGTAAAAGGACTGTCTTGAATACATGATAAATGCTGCAATAAGGGAATGCAAAATATAGCAACCACACGCCATTGGCAAAGATGTTTTGTCAGTTACCTGCTTTCCGGTGTAGAAAATCCAGGTTCCACGGGCTTCTACAATAAGAGGTTTATTGTGCACATCGGGTGTGTCTCTGAGTGTGTTGATTCAGCAGCTGAACAAAGACAAGGGCTGGGTCCTCAGTTTCTCCCTTGTGGTCGGTGATGGTTTCCTCTTCCGGCTAGAGGCTGGCAGTTCCAGGTGCTCAGCACAGACACGACAATATCCACCGAAACGTTGCCTTCTTTCTGTGATCGTCCCTTAGGAGACAGAGGGAAATTTTTTTTTTTTAGAAATCTGTAGCAGAATTCCCTTCATACCTCATTAATCAGAATTGGGTCAGCAAATGGGATTACCTTGGTAACAATCAAGCTCACCCTGGCGCTGGGGCGAAGGGCCAGCCGCTCCTCCGGGGCACCAGGATGTGGCCTGGAGGAGGTACCTTCAGTCAGCAAGAAAGACAAGGGCAGTAAATCGTGCAAAAGCAGTTCACACTTTCCGCTACAGACATGAAGAATGACTGTGTAGATTCCATAGTTAGATAGCTTGTTTAAATGCCAAAATATTAGGGAATGAGTTATAGTGGGTCACCTCCAAAGCTACAAAGCTGTCATTTACTTGTACCTATTCCCCAGTATTTTGGAGATTTCTAGGCTGACACCTCATTTCTCAATTGTTCTTTTTTTTTTTTTTTCCGTGTAGGTAATGAACAAATTGAAAATGTGCTACACTTTTTTAAAAATAGGCAAAGCAGTTAATACCAGTTTGCTGGAGAATATATCTGGTGCTTGTTTTTCCATTCTTGGGATACTTCACTTAGTAGTATGGGTTCCAGCTCTAACCAGGAAAATATAAGGTGTGCTATATCACCATTGTTTCTTAGAGCTGAATAGTACCTAAGTGGACACATAGGTGCTACAGTAATAGGGTATTGGGCAGGTGGGAGGGGGGAGGGGGGCGGGTATATACATACATAGTGAGTGAGATGTGCACCATCTGGGGGATGGTCATGATGGAGACTCAGACTTTTGGGGGGAGGGGGGGAAATGGGCATTTATTGAAACCTTAAAATCTGTACCCCCATAATATGCCAAAATAAAAAAAATAATAATAATTAAAAAAAAAAAATAGGCAAAGCACTTTCAAATGGAAACTGGGATTATTACAATGTAATACTGTCTGCTCTTGCAAGAGTGTGAAGGTTATTCTACCAGTTTCAATGAAGCAGCTCAATTAACCAATGTGCATTACGTATTCGCCATGTGCCAGACAAGTTGGCATTTGAAAGCTTCCACGTAAAGAAAATGGTCACATTGTTTGTCATTTCTTCCATGTGAACAATTTGGAAAATGATGCCCCTTCATCAAACCATGCAGCTCTCTCCTGCATCCCTGCTATGTGCAGGGCATGCTCCTGGGAGCACTGATAACTTGAGAAGTGCATTTCAATATGGTTAACACAAATGATTTTTTTTAAATGCATCTGCTTTGATGGATGAGTTCATTGTCAGTTGTAATCACGTTATTTAAAGTGCAGTTTAAGGAGAAAGCTACAAATATTTAGGGTCCATGAAGTCGGAAGTGCTTGGTCACATGGAAGTAAAAGGAAAGATGAGGAGACAGCTAGTTCATGTTTAGAGAGAAAATGGCAATTAGACATTATTCCAGAAGTACCAGTTCTTCGAGTCAAAACTATCAGGCTTGGTCCTCTGAGGTTTCCAGTCTCGAAAGTGGCCCTTCATCCTTAATAATCCAAACTCCAAGGGGCTCCCTTTACATAAAACATGGTGTGACTGATGCCCCCCTCCCCTCCAGCCATGAACTCAGATGTCCCTCCCCCGACCACATACACACACCAGAATGCTTGGAATTCACACCCCTGGTCCACAGGTATCAAAGGAACCTATAGGCTGTTACCTGGAAGCCCCACAATGCCAGACTTGCTGCTGGGCCTGACTTGACCTTATTTAAGACACTCCAGTAAGAGGGTTCCTCAGTCAGGAACCTGATGGAGACCTCAGAGCACCTCCATGTCCCCTGCATCTGCCTCCCCATCCTGAAGCCCCCCTCCCAGGGCCAGTAAGGGACTGCACTTCTCCAGGAAGACCGGCAGCTTGAACGCCTCTGTATCCTCTCCATTCCGAACCCCAACCCAGACACCCCTTTCAAACCTCCCGGCCGTGCGGTCCTCAGGCAGGTGGGTGGGTCCCAGAGGGTGCAAGCAGAACCCAAGACCCTGTTGGCGTCTGGTTTTAACATTAGGAAGGCCTGGGGGAGGAGGGCAATGCACCCCATGCTCCACTCAGGGCCACACGGAGATTGCAATCAAAAGCAAAGTGAGTCCAAAAGCAAAGCGAACCGACCACTGAGTTACCAGACTCAATTTCCCAGTGAGAACTAGAAAACCAAGCAGCCTGCGAAATATTTTCCTTTCTTCCTAATTTTTAGGACAAAGGGAAAAAGAAAAACAAAACCCAAAGACAGGCACTGCAGGATGTGGGCTCCTGAAACCAGTGTTTGAAACGCTTCCAGGACTGCCATCCAGAACAGACGGGCCGTGCGCTGGCACCGAGCTCGAACGCATGTGAGCACCGAGTTCACAGCGTCCACAGGTGGCACGATGGCACCGTGACACAGCCAAGGCTTCCCCGGGCGGCCCCAGGACGGGAGAAGGTACCCAGGGTTCTGGCAGAGACAACCCTGGATCTGCCAACGTAAAGAAACGTAGCTTGCTGAGAAATGACGATAATAAATTGTGGGAATACCTTCCCGTCTTCCGCCACCTTTCCTCAGGCGTGCTCCCCACGCCCAGCGGAGGATTTGCTGCAAATACCTGCACAATCATGCCTCGGAGGGAGTAGTCAAGGTCTGGCTTGGTTTTGCTCAAAAGAGGAAACCCTGGAAGAAACAGAAAGCTCCATTGGATACTCATTCTTCCCTTTTGTTGTTTTCAAAAAGTTTTTGTTCACATTATTTTAATTCTAGGGGCGTGACGACCATAACCACAGGTGACATTGGCACCATGCCAGGACTGGCCTCGGCGTTGTGTTCCTAATTACCTGCATGTTCTCATTTGATAATGTAACAGCCCAAAATAGACTAACCAAAGGAAGAAAAGGAAAAAGGATCTGTCACTCCATCACCCAAAATGACTACTCATAACTAATTTTACAGACTTTCTTTTCTGCCTGCAACGGGGTGCGGTTTCAGGTTCGCACGCCTCACCTGTGTGGGCCTTGACTACGCTCCTGGAGAGCAGCAGTGGCCAGGAACCCCCCCATCCCAGCTTACTGGAAAAAAACACCCTTGCCCATGAGACTTAGGTAAAACTTACCTCTGATGAGGCCAGACACGGACCCTCCAAGTTCCCATTTATTGTCCGATGAATTAGCAGAATGTTTGACCCCGCCAACCAGCCTGGACAAAATGCCAGCTAATTTGGCTTGATCAAACTTTGTTTTTTTTCTGAGACAGAGTCTCACTTTGTTGCTCAGGCTAGAATGAGTGCCGTGGCATTAGCTGAGCTCACAGCAACCTCAAACTCCTGGGCTCAAGCGATCCTCCTGCCTCAGCCTCCCGAGTAGCTGGGACTACAGGCATGTGCCACCATGCCCGGCTAATTTTTTCTGTATATATTAGTTGGCCAATTAATTTCTTTCTATTTGTAGTAGCGACGGGGTCTCACTCTTGCTCAGAGCTGGTCTCGAACCCCTGACCTTGAGCAATCCACCCGCCTCGGCCTCACCAGAGTACTAGGATTACAGGCGTGAGCCACTGCGCCCGGTCCGCTTGACCAAACTTTACTCACATTTCTTTCCTTCCCTGGGGCTGCTGAACTTTAGCCCACCCTTGAGCCTGAGGACTCAGAACAAGCCCTTCTAATAGTCCTCCTGACAATCAGCTGACCTGAGGGAAAAATCACCCTTCATCAGCCTCTGATCAACCCATCAACCCACCAGCTCTGCCATGCACGGCGCCTGGTTCTCTCTAGCTTCGTTCACTCCTCCCTATAAAGGAAAAGCCCCTTTCCAGCCTGACCTTTCGGACGTTTGCAGAACTTGGGCTGGAGCATCCTCCCTATTGCAATGTCCTTCTCTCCCCGTATTTAAAGAACCATTTTCAGTAAACTCTCTCCTTACCTAAATCCAGATCTGCTTTTATTTGACACTATCTATCTATAAAAAATAACAGTCAGCAAAACTGGGCTGGGGCTTTATGGCACAGTCATTTATAGAGGAGCAGCAGAGTGTCACCGGCAGGCTGTGCAAATTTGGGCAGGTTACTTATCCCGTCCATACTTCACGTTTCACCAGCTGTTCAGTGGGGATAGGATTTCCTACTTAATGTAATTGTTGTAAAGACTACAAAAGTTCATATAAAATTCTTGGAACTCAGCCTGGTATACCATACGCACCATACTATAGTGTTTGCTCTTGCTGTTATTATTGTAGATTATTTTTTTCCCTTAATTATACATTTTGAATAACTTCCTGTGCCTTTAAAAGTACTTTTCAGTATGAGTTTTCATGGTGACTATTATCCCACTATATGATAAATTCATAAGCTATTTAACTAATATTCATAAGCTATTTAATCTCCTACCATATTTTATTCTAATTATTCCCTAAGTTTTGATCAATTTCCTGCTCTAATGTTATTGCCCACATTCCTTATTATGCTCCTGAGAAATAACAGCCAAATCAAAGGACCTATGAATGTCAAAGTTTGTTTTGAAATACATACGGTTAAAATGCACTCCAGAAACATTGGGTAAATATAATATATAGAAGTAGCCAACTGAGAGAGTACCTTGTACTTGTGCATTTTTTAACACAGCTTTTAATTTTTTTAAATCACTGACAAGTTTTTGAGATGAACATTATACCTAATCTTTTCTTAAAATATTTTGATACAGAATAAGCATGCAAAAAAATGCACGAACAAAAATGCATTGCCCAATAACATGCCACAAAGCGATATTGCTGAAGATTACTCATGTAACATCAGCTAAGTAAATATCATTAATAGTATCACCATAAAGTCTCCTAAAGGCCACCCCAATTATTATGGATTTTTGTGAATGGCATACAGTTGTTTTTCTCTCTTTAACTCAGAGTGAAAATCGATATCTTTAAATTGAACAATTCAGTCTGTTCTGTTTATTTGATTACCAACATGAACTTACATCTGCATTTTACTGTGTGCTTTGTATCTGTCTGGGACATATTTTTTTTTTTAATTCTGCTTCCCTTCTCATGTTCCATACTCTATTACTATATTTTTAGCAGTTACCCTAGATATTAAAAGTGCATATTTGATTTATGAAGGTCTGGTATAATTTGGTCATTTTTATATCTCCCAGGACAATAAAAGGATCATACAACAGTTTATATCCATTTCATCACCTCCCGATGTAAATGCTTTTTATATAATATCATGTATTTTAACTCTACATATTTTTAAATCCTAAAAATCCTTGTTGT